CAATTGTTTTTTCTTGAGTGCTTCTTTATTTTCTAGTACTACAAGACACTTCAGGCACATCTTATATATTCCCTGCCCCAGCTCTAGAATCAGCCATTTCTCTAAGGAGCCCTGGTTCCTTTAAGTGGAGAATGGTATTAGAAACCAAGATTTGGGCACTGGATGTGCTCACTGCTATTGGCAATTATCCTTTTTGAAGCCAAACTGTCTCTGACCAGTGGAAACATCTTCGAAGTGGCTTCTGAGTCTTTTTGATATGACCTTAGTAGTCTTTGAAGGCTTCTTCCCTACTTCTTATGACAAAATGTTCCAAGCTCACCTGGTACATTTCCTGCCCCACACTTAGAATTAGCTGTTTCTCTAAGACATCCTAATTTCCTTTAATGGGAACGGTATTTCAAGACCACAATCTGGATTACTAGGCGTGTTCACTACTACTGGGCTAGTCATTATTTCTAAGCCCTTTCACCCCTAAAGCAAAGGGGGTGTGTGCGTGTGTTTACTTTTAAATAAAATTTCTCATTGAGTTCATATTCAGGACTACAGGGTCGTTTTACTTCTAACTTAAACTCTTTTGAATTACACCTGTATTCTTCCACACTAAAAGTCTTAGTTCTCAAAGACAGAGGATGACAGGATTCAAATGTCTTATAATTACTCACTTACACTATCTCACATTACACACAGTCTTGGAATAACACTAATAGCGCCAGCAATATGATTATTGGTAGCAGTTCCTTTCTTGCATATGCTTTTCCCATTTCTCCATTTTGGAAAACAGTGGTGCTATATCGACGTTATCTGAACACCGAGCATATAGGCATTACATACTCTGCTCTCTCCCTTTTAACCCTCGTTTAGTCTTAGGTCTAAATAACTATATATTTAAGGCTTGCTACCAGTCCTTCTGTCAATGTCTCTCATCATTTTGGTTGTCTGAAGCTCGTTCTCTAGCAAATTCCTTAGGAAAGGATCATGGGAACAATATTTCCTGAGTTCCTGCATGTTGATAAATGGCTATATCCTTCATACTTAAAAGTCAGTTTTACCAGATATAATGTCCTTGGCTCATATTTTTTCCCCTTGAGAATCTTAAATACATGTTACTCCATTTTCTTCTGGCATAAAGTGTTGATGTCAAAAAGTTTGAGGGTGATCCAATTTTCTTTCCTTTATAAATCACCTGTGTTTGTCCAAATGTCCAAAGCATTTTTTTCCTTTTCTTTAAAGTATAGTAATTTTATTAGAATGTGTCTTGTTGTTGGTCATTATTAGTCAAAATTCTCAGGTCCACAGTGTGCCTTCTCAAATCAAATCTTTTTTTTTGTTCCAGGAAAGTTTCCCTAACATTAATTTTTAGCTTTTATTCTTTTTCCTTGCTTTGGTTTTCTTCTTCAGATAATCCTATTATCCATATGCCAGGTCTTCTTTGCTATCTTTTATATTTGACACTTTTTTTTTTAAAGACTGGCACCTGAGCTAACATCTGTTGCCAATCTTTTTTCTTCTTCTTCTTCTTCTCCTTCTCCCTAAAGCCCCCCAGTACATAATTGTATGTTCTAATTTGTAGGTCCTTCTGGTTGTGCCATGTGGGATGCGGCCTCAGCATGGCCTGATGAACAGTGCCACGTCCATGCCCAGGATCCAAACTTGGGAAACCCCGGGTCGCCGAGGTGGAGTGCGCGAAGTTAACCACTTGGCCATGTGGCCAGCCCCCATTTGTCACTGTTTCTTGAATCCTGTTTAAATTTCTTTTCGATTTAAAACATGTTCATTTGTTACCTTATTAAAACGTTTTCTGTTGCGTTCACTCATCCTTTTCTTCCAGCTTAGCCTTCATTTCTGAAATGATTCTTTATTTTCCCCAAGTTGTCACACATTTCTGAGTTTTTCTAATCCTGCTTTATATCGTTCTTCCATGTCTTATATAATTTTCTTAATGTCTTCCAATTCATTTTTAAACAGTACATTTTAGATTTGTGTTTTCTGAGTGTCTCTGGAATGCTTTTGATTCTTTCTTTCCCTGTATAATCACTTTGTGTGGGATTTGACCTTGATAATTTTCTGTTCATTTTGTTCGCAGCTTTATTGAGATATACTTCACACGCCATAAAATGTATGCATCGAAAGCGTACAGTTCAGTGAGTTTTCGTATATTCAGAGCTGTGCAAACATCACCACTAGCTGTTGTTCATTCTTACGTGTACTAAGTTTTCCTGAACTTTTAGAAAGTAGTATGGTTCAGAGTGGCTTTTCTAACTTCACAGAGGCTCCCTCTCTGCCGTTTTTATGTATGTGAAAGAAATAGAATGACTTGCTTGATTAGAGTCCTTGGTTCTGGCTCTCTCCCACTTTTATCTGGACCTTCTCTTTCCTTCATCTTTATTGTCCCTGTTCTGCTCAATTTCATATGCAGTTTCCTTTGTATGTAACTTGTTGTTTTTCTCTTGAGCTTTTAGGATTCCCTCATTCTCTTTAATTCTTGACATTTTAATTATAATACATCTGGGTGTGGGCGTCTTTGGGTTTATCTTGTTTGGTGCTCTCTGTGCTCCCTGTACCTGGATGTCTGTTCCGTTCCTTAGGTTAGGAAAGTTTTCAGCTGTTATTTCTTCAATTAGATTTTACACCTCTTTTCCTCTCTTTTCTCCTTCTGGGACACCTATAAAATGGATGTTGGTGTGCTTGATGTTGTCCCAGAGGTCCCTTAGAGTGTCCTGGTTCTTTTTCAGTCTTTTCTTTTCTGTTCAGTTTGGGTGGTTTCCTCTACTCTTTTGTCTAGCTCATTGATTCATTCTTCTGCATCCTCTACTCCGCCACTGAGTCCCTCTAGTAAATTTTTCATTTTATTACTGTATTCTTCAGTTCTGACTCATTCCTTTTTATATTTTCCAATTCTTTGTTGAAGTTCTCGGTGAATTCATCCATTCTTCTCCCAAGATCAGTGAGCATCCTTATGACTAATAGTTTGTACTCTTTATATAAGGTAGATTGTTTATCTGTTCCATTTGGTTCTTTTTCTGAGGATTTGTCCTGTTCCTTTATTTGGAACATATTCCTTTGTCTCTTCATTTTGCCTCTTTCTCTGTGCTTATATCTGTGTATTAGGTAGATAAGTTACATCTCCCGATCTTGGAGAGGTCGCCTTATGTAAGAGATGCCTTATGAGGCCCTGTCGTGTGCCTCCCTCTTGTCACTGGTTCCAAATGTTCCAGAAGTGTTCCCTGTGTGGGCTACGTGTGTCCTTCTGTTGTGGCAGGGTTGCTCCTGCTGCGGGTGCATGGGGAGGCTAAGGTGTCCCCCTGGCTGGCTGGTTGTAATGCTCAGCTGCATGTGGCTGCCATGATCCCTTCAGTCACTTTATCAGGTGTGGGGAGCCCCAGCACAGTTGGCTGCAAGGTCTAATAGCACATTCTTGCTGTAGTTTTCCTGTTAAGTGAGTAGGCCCCAATATGGCTGGTTGCTAGGCTCAGGGGCTTATAATTGCTGTAGGCCTCCAGCCTGTAAGGCTGTTGTCAGCTCTCTCAGGAGTGCAGTTGGGTGGGGACGGCCCCAAGCATATAAGCACCCAATTGTTTGACGTCCTATGGGTGTTTGAGAAGCCCAAGCATGCTGCAGCTGACAAGCCCCATCGCCCATAGGGCCACACACCCCATCAACACAGTCCTGCCCTGTGCACATGCCCCAACCCACTGGAGTGGACCTTCTTGCCCTGCTGCAGAGGCCCCACACACTCTGCCACCATAGGAGCGTTGTTCCTTTGTGCACGCCCCAACACCATTTATTAAAGAGACTTTCCTTGCTCCATTGAGTTCTTTGAGCTCTAGCTAGGGTGCTTGGAGTCTATCCTGTGCATGCATAGCTTAGGAGTGAGGTGGAGATTTGGGCAGGGTTTATATGGAGAATTAGGGCTCCTTCTCTGTGGTTCTCTCCTTTCTGGGATATCTTCTCTCACTTTTCACTTGCTATGGTCACCCTGAGCTCAGTTCTCTCATTCTTCAACAAATAAGACTGCAAGTTTCTATCCAAGTTTTACGTACCCTCACATCACAGCAACTGCAGCCTGCCTATAGGTGAAAAGCTATAAAAAACAGGAAACTCTTTCAAGTGACCACTCTTCTCTTTTCTGTGCTATAGTGGAAACAGCACTGGAACTAGGAATTTGAAGGCCTAAATTAAAATCTCAGCCTGGCCACTTTCTAGCTATGTTAACTTTGGGTAAGTCAATTCTCAGACACCATCCTCATCTTAAAATAAGGATAAGAATGTCTGCTTCATGGGGTTGTTAAAGAGGATCAAATGAGATAATATACGAGATAAAGAAGTGAGGCTCAGAGGGGCTAGATGCTGTCCTATCTATTAAGTGGCAGGAGTAATTGGTTACCCCAGGTCTGTCCATCTTTTTCCGCTATACCGTATTGCTTCCATCTTTCTAACATCAACTCTTTCGACCTTTCCCTTCAGAAGATACCTCCAAGTACTTACTATGATCTAATTACCAAGTTGGGCACCAAGAATACAGGTCGTCAAAAGTCCCCGCCCTCAAGAAATTCCAAGTACCATTTCCTTTTAAATGTTGAATTCTCTCCAGTCTATGTCTGATTTTTTTGGTTCCTCTCTAGTGCCTTCTGGCAGTTGTTTTGTTATACTTTGTAAATTGTTATCTGTAGGAAGGGTTGGCCTGATACAACCTACTCTGCTATTATCATAAGCAGAACTGCTATCCATGGATTTTTGGTTTTACCATCTAGCTGCTCAGGCTGTTTTTATGCCATGATATTTGGAGAGATTCAGAAACTATGCTGATGCTGCCCCCATCCTCCCAGTATCATCTGCTATTTATTTTAATAATAAATAAAATACTGCCTAGAATCTTTCTATTACTCAAAATCTTTGTCCAGATTACTTCTGCTCCTAAAGGGCAACGATACTTGGTCTGAATTTAATTGCTGGGAGTAAGGAACCAGTAGTCTAAGTACTTTCCCCGTCCCCCTTCATACCTGGTGTTGTCTGGGCTATTCCCCGATCTGGTAATGCTCCGTATCTCCGATGCTGCTCATACCAGTCATTTACTGTCATAGTTGCCAGACTTGGATAACCAGCTCCAAATACTCTGCAAGAATCACACTGCATTTAGAAAACTAAACATAAGTAGCACTATTAAAAAGCCTCTTCTGTTTAGTGACAAAGCCTGTGTCTGTTTCATCCTTGCTCCCCTACCCAGCTATGTTCCACGGAGTTGGGCAAATTCCTGTGAGGACATGTAAAAAGAAGCATCCAGGAAGGGGCATTAAAGTCAAGAGCTTTCATGAGAAGATAAATAGCCCAGGATCATCTCCCAAGAAGCAAACCCAGAGGCCAATGCCCCACAGAGCAGTGATGATCCTGTGGAAGGGGTATTTACAATCGGTAGGTCTAAAAGGTACACAGAGGGAGGAGACTCTCCCGTGACCCTATGGAAAAGCATCACAAGAACTCAGAATTAAATCCTAGAAGAAGCAAACATGTCCTTTTGAGAACTGTAGTCAAAGGCAATAACAGGAAACAATTTTAAAGGATACAATTCTTCATTAGATTCCTTTTTTCTTTCTCTTTATTTTTGTTGGTTTTCTTTGGAGCCTATTTTTAAGCTCAAGTTTGTGAGGGAAATCTCTGACGAAGACAGACATAGAGGAAGTATTACAAGAGATTAATATCCCTTTGATGAAAGAACAGCTCCCTCGAGTGAAGCCGTGGCCTTTTAACAACGCCCATTCCGTCCCTTCCTCATCCACTACTACGGAACCATAAAACCAGGGGGCCTGCAAGGCAACCCACTTTTTAGAATTACCTACTTGGCTTGGGTTACGTTCCGAGTGAGAATGAAGGGTTTCCTTGGAGGCCTGTCCTGAAGAGATGAATGGGAAGTTGATGCCTAAAAAGGAAATTAATCATCAGAAGTGCATTTGCCATTTTGCCCACCCCATATGTGGGCAGGCTTTTAAGTCTTCAGGTGCTTGAAAAGTCCTGGATTCAAAATTCACTCACTTCCTATTTATCAATCTCTAAGATAGAGCAGCAGAATACTAATGGTGGAGGCTGCTTAGCTCTTCCTGAGGAGGCCCAAGTACCTTACTGAAAAAGGAGGAAGAGAAGCTCTCCCAGGAATCATCTCACTACAAGTAAAACATTACATGGCTTTAAAATGCCCCCCTCCAGAGAAGGAGATTCCAAGGCCTTCTTCTATGTTCCATCTAAATCCCCTGAGCTGAATTTGAAGCCCCTTTCCTCAGCCTGGCCTTCAGGGCTAAAGTTGAATTACTATTACTTTTTTTTTTTTTTTTAAGATTTTATTTTTCCTTTTTCTCCCAAAGCCCCTCGGTACATACTTGTGTATTTCCAGTTGTGGGTCCTTCTAGTTGTGGCATGTGGGACGCCGCCCCAGCATGACCCGATCAGCGGTGCCATGTCTGTACCCAGGATTCGAACCAGTGAAACCCTGGGCCACTGAAGCAGAGCACGCGAACTTAACCACTTGGCCATGGGGCCGGCCCCAAAAGTTGAATGATTAAGACACCTCTTCTGGGGCTGGCCCGGTGGCACAGTGCTTAAGTTCACACATTCCGCTTCGGCAGCCCCAGGTTCGCTGGTTCAGATCCCGGGTGTGGACATGGCACCGCTTGGCAAGCCATGCTGTGGCAGGCGTCCCACATATAAAGTGGAGGACGACGGGCACAGATGTTAGCTCAAGGCCAGGCTTCTTCAGCAAAAAGAGGTGGATTGGTGGCAGATGTTAGGTCAGGGCTAATCTTCCTCAAAAAAAAGGGACAGGGGAGGACTCAGAAGAGTCTCAAAATGCTTGAAAACCCCTCATCTAGATATGCTCAAGGGGCCTTCTGACCTTAGACTACTAACCAATCATTCATTCTTTGATCCTTTAACATGAAGAACTAAGCTGATGTTACCCAGAGGCAAAAGCTCCTGGGCTAATTAGTACCAATCAAATTGGGAAGAGGTTTCTCTGAGGTCTTAAATAAATGTCTGTGACCAGCTGATAAATTCAACTCAATTCACATTGTATCCTGAACCCAAAGGTAAGGAGCAGCAGAGCCTAATCTTCTGAAGCAGCAGCTCCAAAACAGGGTGATGATCTTCAAAGACAGCCAAAGCTGTGTCAGACCAGGTTTTCTTTATCAGTATACGCAACATTTTGTGCACGGAGATGTCCTTGCTGTGTCTCATACGTGAGTGATCTAAAGGTGTGAGTGCAACACTGTGTAAGGTTAAATTCGGATTCCTACCCCAGCCTAAACATGGTCCATTTTTTGTTTTATCTTCTTTCTACCTTTTCTCTCTCTCCTCTAGTTCCACTTTTCTTCTCTGCTCCCATCCCGTTCCTCTTCCCCTTTATTACAGTCAAGCACAGATTTTAAAGGCATACCTCCCTATGCATTCCTCAAGCAGTCAGGACCTCCCACAGCCAAAACCAATTTTTACTTCAGAGAAGTCGCCCTCCCCTGTGGCATGTCACAAAATTACAAATGACTAGAAGTGCGTTACAGGTTCGGAAGCACTGGGGAACATCACTATAGGCTGGAGAGAAAGCTACCCTAGTGCACCTTCAGCCTTCCTCCACTAATCTTAATAAGAACAACGATTTTATGGAGACTTAAAAGGATTTTAATTTGATTTTAATTTTAACTCTCCTGCAGAACATCCAAATCTCTGACAGTAGCTTTTTGAACTATCTAGGCAGTGATGGGCTTACCTCTTTTGAAGAGTCTTTTTCTTTCAGGATCTTTATCTCCTGATCAATGCTCTCAATCTCTTCTAAACTGATACCAATCCACCTTCGAAGGTGAAGGAGGTAATATTCACGAACACGTTCATCATCTGCTTGACCACTTTCCACAGCAGATTTCAGCGTAGACAACCTATGCTCCACCTCCTTCTTCTGCTTGTATCTGTTCCACAGAAAAGCATTACCCATGAACTTAAAGATAAAGAGGCATTCCTTCAAAAGAGGGCCACAGTAAGATCTTACCTTTGCAAATGACCAGGCAGTAAGTACGCTGATTTCCACTTTGGCAAAAATACAGATTCTACACCCTAGAACTTGCCACCAAGGCAGTTCTCTCAAGACTACAAAGCAAGGGGTCAGCAGGGGCTAAGAAACACATTCTGAAGCCAGAAAAACATAAAAGGAAGCTGATCTGAGCACCTCGCCCCATTATCTTTAGAGATGGGAGTGCCTTAGTCATGTTATCACTTCAACCCTTATAGGTTGGGTGCTCAGTATCACATACTATCCATTTAGGAATTACAGCTTCAAAGAAAGAGAGAATCTTAGGGGTCATTCACTTGCCATTGATGCAGGAATTCCTTGTGAAACAGCCTAAAAAATGGTCATCTCTTCTTTTCTTCTGGACAAAATGTTCCCAGCTCTTCTGACTCATCCTAATATAATTTAAAGAGTTATAACCATCCTGCCTGCCTTTTTCAGGATGCATTCTATGTCATCCATCATTCATTTGAAAGATATTTACTGAGTACCTATTGCATGACAGGCACTGTTCTCAGTGCTGGAGACACGGCAGTGTATACAAGAAAGCCCTTGCTCTCCTGAAGCTTTCATTCTAGTGGGAGAAGCAAAAGAAATAGATGATGAGTCAGGTGGTGATAAGTGCTAAGAAGCAGCAAAAGGCAAGGTAAGTGGATAGAGTGATGGCGCAAAAGTAAGGGTGCTATGAGATACAAGTGATCAGCAAGAGGTGACATTTGGGCAAAGACTTCAAGGAAATAAGGAAGCAAGTCATGCCAATATCTGGAACAGTGTTCTGAGGGGGGAAAGCAAATACGAAGGTCCTGGGGTGAGAGAGTGCCTGGCTTGACATGTTTGAGAAATAGCAAGGAGGTCAGTGTGACTGACATGGAGTAAAGAAGAATGATAGGAAATGAGGTCCAGGAGATAGCCAGAGCCATAATTTATAGAACCCTGGAGGCCATAAGACCCAAAATATCAAATGCCATATTTTGAGTGAGACAGGAAAGCCACTGGAGGCTTTTGAATAGAATACATGACGTGAATAGGCTGACATGAAAACTTGTTTTCACATGGGCCACTCTGGCTGCTGTGTGGACCGTAGACTGTGAGGGCTGGGAGGCAAGGTGGAAGCTGGGAAACCAATCAAAAGGATATTACCACAAGCCAGGTGAGAGATGGTGACTTGAAATAGGGAGATGGTGAGATGTGGATGTACTTAAAATATAAAAGACAGAAGCTGCTAATTTATTGGATGTAAGAGCTTGAGGGAAAGAGAGGAGCCAAGAAAAAATGCCACGATTCCCAAGAGAAGTGTCTTGAAATATCTGCATCTGGAACTCCACTCTGGACGTCCAGAATCAGATGTCCCTCTGCAGGTGTTCGCCCAAACCTGAAGTTCTTAACCTGAGGTCCATGGGCAGAGTTTGGAGCCAGGTGTGTGTGAGGGGGTGGTCGTTGAAATCCCTGAAATTTTATACAGAATTCCACATGGATGCTTTTTTTTTTTTTTCTTCGCTGGGAAGAGGTTTCGTAGTTTTTATCAAATTATCAACAAGGTCCGTGACCTGCAAAAAGTCAAGAACCACTGCTCTGGAAACATTCTTTATTACAAAAACTTTTAGGCTCCTCTGCTCCTTTTACACAACAAGCGGGTACTTTATATAATGTTACAAACAGCTGTCACAGTATCATCATAGGTAGCATTCTGAGTAAAACACTACAAAGGCTAATTCCCAGTTCATGGAGGCTACTCCAGATATCACTTGGCAACATTTAATTCTAGTCCCACTCCTATCCCCACCCTCTTTCCTGGATGTACCTAAGTCAGGAAAAAAACTTACTAGGGTCTCAGAATGCATATAATCCAGGGTAAATTCTGGGTTAGTCTACTGGTCCTTTGACTGAGGTTCTTGCACTTCCTTTCCCGTTCCCTGCAAGGGTCTGGTCTCACTGCACTCTCTGGTCTTCCCGTCTTCTCTACTTCTTTACTCCTATGACTTTGCTCCTTGTCATCTTTAGGACTTTTAGCTCCTCAACTCCTGTTTTAAAACCTTTTGGTTGGGGCCGGCCCCATGGCCGGGTGGTTAAGTTCACGTGCTCCACTTCAGCAGCCCAGGGTTTGGCCAGTTCAAATCCCGGGTGCGGACATGGCACCGCTCATCAGGCCATGCTGAGGTGGCGTCCCACATGCCACAACTAGAAGGACCCACAACTAAAATATACAACTAGGTACTGGGGGGCATTGGGGAGAAAAAGGAAAAAAATAAAATCTCAAAAAAAGATTAATAAAACCTTTTTGTCTTAGCAGAAGAAACTTTTCTTCTTCTGAGAGCTTACTTGGACTCCAATAAGTAATAAACAGATAAAATCTGCTTCGGTTAAGTCAAAGGAGGGCTCCCAACATCTCCCTTAGGCACTGCGGTAGAATCTTAGGGCTCCAATGAACAGATTAAAACCCACTGTCCTAGACTTTCATCACTGTTCTCGATTTCCAGTGGTGAGCCACTATGTGGAAACACTCCCTATCACCCTATGATCCCCAATGCCTGTCACCCTGCTGACTCTGGGCAACTCCCACCATTCCCTTTTTCTGTTCCCAAAGTGCTGAAGAGAACTAACAAATTACAAATCTGTGTCAAATGAGTCAACTACAAATTCATACTAGCAAACTTGGCCTGAGTGATCACTCTTGCTCAGTTATCCTTTTGTCCATCTTTTGTGGATTCCAGGCCACAATCACACTCACCAGATGACCAGCCAATGAAGAATTCAATTTTCTTCTTTACCTTAAAATCTCTGTAGCTTCACCTTTCCCCCTTTCCTCTTGTCTTGAAGGAGCTAGTGCTGTCTTCAGCAAGGCAATGTCTTTACCATTCCACTTTTGCTATCGATCCTGCCCCCACCCACAATCTTCCAGGCCTCGCTCTCCCAATCGTCTTCCCTGTCATTAGCAGTTACAATTTTTCAGTCTACTGGTGCCTTTCCCCTATCCTGGAAACACCTTCCCTCAATCTATGTTCTATCTTTTCAAATAACCACTATTTTCTCTTCTGTGCTCTAGTGGAAACAGCACTAGAACTGGGAATTTGAAGACCTTCATTAAATCCTAGCCCGGTCACTTACTAGCTATGTAACTTTGGACAAGTCAATTCTCAGGGCTCATTTCCTTATCTCTAAAATGGGGATAATGATATCTGCTCTATGGGGTTAAGAGGATCAAATGGAGGGGCTGGCCTGGTGGTACAGCGGTTAAGTGCGCACGTTCCGCTTCTCTGTGGCCCGGGTTTGCCGGTTCGGATCCCGGGTGCGGACATGGCACCGCTTGGCAAGCCATGCTGTGGTAGGTGTCCCACATGTAAAGTAGAGGAAGATGGGCATGGATGTTAGCTCAGGGCCAGTCTTCCTCAGCAAAAAGAGGAGGATTGGCAGCAGTTAGCTCAGGGCTAATCTTCCTCAAAAAAAAAAAAAAAAAACCAGGAAAAAAAAAACAAGAAAAAGAAAAAAAAAAAGAGGATCAAATGGAACAATACACATGAAAGTGCTCTGTAAGCAGCAACATGATACAAATATTGTTAGGTGATGAGAAAATCGAGGCTAGGAGGGGTTAGATGATGCCCTATCTATTGAGTAGTAGTAATCGGATTGGTCATCCCAGGTCTGTCTGACTCCCAAGTCCAGGCTTTTTCTGCTACATTATATGGCTTCCGTCTTTCTGACGTCCACTCTATCTGCCCCTCCCAAAGACACTGCAAGCACATACTATGATTCAGTTACCAGGTTGGGCACCAAAGATACAATGATACAATTAGGATACTAAGTACACAATTAGTCAGGGTCTCTAACCTTTAGGAGTTCCAAGTCTAGAGAATGACAGAGAGCTATGCTGTGAAAAGTAACATAATCTAAGTGCTACAGTATCTGGGAGGGAATATAGGTAGGAGGAGCTTCGAAGAGGACATGACATTTGCTCTCTTACTTCCCCAGGCTTCTGTAAGTACTTCTACCTGTATCTTGTTGAGTCTCTTACCTAGAATTGCTCTTTCCTTCCTCCTCCTTGTCCCTTAACTTGCCCCAATGGTTTTTCCTTGGCTTTTTCCTCTCTACATGTGTTTTCTTGGCAAACTATCCACACCAAGGCTCCTAAATTTTAGGAGCTAGCCACAAAACAGCCTCACAAGTTTTAGTTACACATTTCCATGGATCTACGGACATGGCTGTCCAGTTGTCACCTTAGGACTTTAATTCAGTAAATCTAAAACTAGACTCACCACTTATCCAGCTTCTACTTTTCTATTTCTGTCGAAAGAATGCAGATGTAGGGGGCTGGCTCCGCGGCCGAGCGGTTAAGTTCGCGTGCTTTGCTGCGGTGGCCCAGGGTTCGGATCCTGGGTGCGGACATGGCACTGCTCGTCAGGCCACTTTGAGGTGGCGTCCCACAGCCCACAACTAGAAGGACGTGCAACTAAGATATACAACTGTGTACAGGGGGGGTTTGGGGAGATAAAAGCAGGAAAAAAAAAGATTAGCAACAGTTGTTAGCCCAGGTGCCAATCTTTGGGGGGGGGGGGGGGGGAAGGAAGATTGGCAACAGTTGTTAGCCCAGGTGCCAATCTTAAAAAAAAAAAAGAAAGAATGCAGATACAGTTAATCAACCAGACTTACAGTCACTCCTCAAAGATGGGAATTAAGAGTAGAGAAGATATGTGAAGAAACAGGTTTTGAGAAAGAGAGGACATAACATTTAGGTGTTTTATGCAGGATGGCCTCGGTATGTAAAATCGTGGGAGGGAGAACTTACAGAAAGTAAATAAGGATTTGAACAATTTATTTTCTAATCATATAAGTGCTTCTTGCAAAAGTAATACCTCTGACAGTTGTAACTTCATTTTTCTCACTCCTTCCTAGTTGAAGTAGTATTATAACACGTTAGCTTGTCTTTCTGCCTCTCTCTTCCCCATCAATATTCTATACACATCACTTCCTTCTGCAGACCTCTGACCATACTGCTCGTAGCGTCTGCCAAACCAGACTATGCCCCATTCCCTGTGCATACCTCACACTACCCTGCCTTGGGCTTCTGCTCACGTTGTTTCTCCTGCTGGTCAACAATATTTCTTGAGCACCTTCTGTATGTCAGGCCTGTGCTAGGCATACCACAGTGGTCAAGAAAGAAATGACTCCTGCCCTCATGGAGTACACATTCTAGCAGGCAAGAAAGACAAAGCCCAGAAAGACAGATAAATGAACAGTATTCCAAGCAAAGAGAAAATGTACAAAGACTCTGTAGAAGGAAGGAGCTGGCTCTGTTCAAAGAACTGAAAGGCGGCCATTCTGGCTGGAGTCTAGTGAGAAAGGGGAGTATGATACATGATGAGATTGAAGAGAGGCATGAGCCAGAGATCCCACAGGGCCTTATAGTTAGTGGTTTGGCTATTTCAGGTGAGAGATGCTAGTGGCCTAGACTAAAGTATGACAGTAAAGAAAGAGAGAAACAGAATGACATAAAATACATTGTGTAGCCCGAATTGACAGGCCTTGCTGATGGACTGGCTGTGGAGATCCCGCAGGCAGGAAGTGAAGTGAACTCCTGGGTTTCTGGCTGAAACACCTGGGTGAATGGTGGTGCACTTACTGAGACGGTGAAGACTTGGATTTAGGGGTGCAACTAGGGAGCCAAAAAGCCAAGGGTTCAATTAGGGCATGTTAAGGTTGAGATGTCTGTGAAATATCCATGTAGGGTTTTGAAAGTATGAGTCTGAAGGTCAGGAGAGGTCCGGGTTAGTGATATAAACGTGGGAGCCATTAGCAAAAAGACAATTTTGATACCTCATCTGCCAGGCATTTAAAAAAAAAGCTCAAAGATCAAGCTTTCTAGCCAAAGAAATAAGATCAAAACAATAAGATAACTTTTTCTGTTTGCTCAATTGGATTTTCTAAGTGTTACCTTCCAAGACCAGCGCAGCAGGACATACTCTGAAACTTTGTTATTGTGGAAAGCAATATTGTTACCATCAAGAATCCAAAAATATTCAAACCCTTTGATCTAGTCACTGGTCTTTCTAGAATCCATCCTAGGGAAAGAGTTACAGATTCCATTAAAGGTGTCTGCTCGGATTATTACTTAGCATGGCAAAAACAAAGAAACAAAAATAACCCAGAATTAGTTTAAGTACCCGACAATAAAAGATTAATTTAAATAAGTATGGTACAAATATAGGATGGAATATTATGTAACCCTTAAATATCATGGTTTCAAAACACATGGGGAAATGCTCACATAGAATATTAGGCTAAAAAAAAAAGATAAAAACTAAATTTCAGTGTTACTCCAAATTTATTAACTAAAATAACTATGTATCTGGAAGGAAATACGTCAGGAAGTTAACACAGATCATCTCTGAGTGCTAGGATTAAGGCTTATTGTTAATTTAAAAAATATTCTGTTCTTCCAACTTTCTACAATGAGTATTATTACCTTTACATTGGAAGATGTGTAATTTCTATTTTCAGAATAGAAATTTACATCCTTCAAGGCTCATCTCAAATGTCATTACGTTCTGAAACCGTTTCCTCACCCCTCCAACCAGATGTGATCACTGCCTGGTCTTTCTCCACAACACTGTTTGTATCTCTATGGCATTTACAGTTTCCCTTCTTTTTTTTTTTTTGGTATATTATAATTATTTGGAAACCAAACTCACTGTTTAAACTACCTGTTATATGCCAGTGGGTTGCCCTCACCTTCTTACAAAGGACATGATGCTGAACTCCACTTCATATCAGTCTACCCCCATTTCCTCAAAAATCATTCACTGTCACTCACTAGCCCCTAACCACACTTATTAATTCTTTACAGCCCTCACCACCTGAAATTACATTACTATTTACTAGCTTATTGTTGGTCTCCTCCACCAAAATAAAAGCTCCATGAGGGCATGGGCTTGGCCGGTTCTCCATTACCTAGAACAGTTCCTGGCACACAAGAAAGGCTCAATAAACATTTGTTAAATGAATGAATCAATATTCAGCTCTCCAGACCAGGCCTCTCTTCTGAGCTTCACACTGACACCTCTACCTGGATGTCTCCTAAGCACCTTAAACGCAACATGTCTCAATAAGGAATTCATACTCTTCCCTGATTTGTTGTTCTTCCTCTAGTCCCCATCTTAATGAGTTCCACAGCCATCCACCTAAGTCAGAAACATGACATCTTCCTTGCTGCTTCCTTCTACCCCACCTCCCACCACCAGTTGATCGCCAGGTTTTCTGCAGGTTCAACCCTCCTAAATAAATATATGCCTCCTATCCCTTCTGCCACTGCCTTAGTGAGGCCTCACCACCTCTATGACCTAACTGGATCTAATCTTCCCCCTCTCATTGCTTCCTAACTGCAGCCAGAGTATGCTGGTTAAAACGCAAATACGACCATCTACTCTTTAAAGGAAAAAACTCCAGTGGATCCCAATCACCAAGCAAAGCTTAAGCTCTTTAGCATGGCCTAATAGCAGGCAACACTTATAGAATATTTACTATGTGCCAGATACTGTGCTAGCTGTTTTATGTGCTTTATCTTATTTGCTTCTTAACCCTATGAGACAGGTACCATTATTAGATTTCACATATGAGGAAACCTGAGGTTCAGATAGGTTAAATAAGTTACCCAAAGTCCAATGGTTTAAAAGAAAGCTGGATCTCAAACCCCGGTCTGACTCCACAACCTGTACTCAGCTACAGAGATATAACAATAGCTGACTTCGAGTGCTTACTGCATCAGACACTGTGCTAAGTGCTTTTTATGTATTTCTCTTTTAATCTTCAAAACTACTTTAAGAGGAAGGGCCTATTACTATACAATTTTAAAGCTGGGGAAATTAAGGCACTGAGAGATTAAGCAACTGATCCAAAGTCAGAGTGTTAAATGGTGGAACTGGGATTGAAACCCCTTCCCAAGTTCTTAGCAACAAGGTTGTTCCTTCACATTCCTCACACCACAGGCTCTCCTCGGTCTGGCCCCTACGACACTCCTCAGCATCATTCCTTCCCCCTGTCCACCACCTCCTTTGTGTTCTAGCATCACCTAATTGCTTACAGTTGCTCCCCACCCACACATCCCCACTCCAGCACTGTGTTCTTTAACGCCCCTGTAGCTTTACTAACACTATTATCTCTGCTGGCTACTGCCCTCCTTTTCTCTTCCTCTAGATAATCTTCCTATTTATCCTTAAACAACTCATCACAGTAGTCACGTCTTCCAGGCAGCCTCTGCTCTCTCCTGCTCCCTCTTTGGTCAGGCGCCCCTCCTGTCTGCTCTCACAGGAGAGCCCTCTGTAACACATCACTTTATATCAATACTGTTTCTATGCCTCTTTTCCTCACCAGACAGAGACCACCCATACTCATACAAACACCCATACTCAGTTTGTATCCCCAGTGCCTAGCACGGTTCCTACTGTGAGCACTCATTAAATGTTTTTTTTTTTTTTAAACTAAGAGGGTAAGCAACTTGTTCAAGGTCACACAATGAAGCTGTGCCAGGACCAAGATTAGTTGAGGATGTTACAACCTGATCCAGAACCGTTAGAACAAAGCTTCTCAATCAATGGACCACAAATGGACTAGACCTACAAGATATTATGCCCTTCAGAGATATTCACCCCACGGTACCATATGAATATTGCTATGCTGTAAGGTGGGGAAGACTGGGAAACACTATGCTAAACTACATTGCTGCTGTTGGCAACCATAAGGTAGTAGGGGTCTGACCGTTAGGTGACCATCTCGACAAAGGCAGAGGCTTCTTGAAAAACTCAGGAGAGTCTGCTGTCACCAGGGCCTATGCTCAATAAGAACCAAAAGAGTGACATACACCATTGTTTCCCCCAGTAAAAAAACCATGCCCCCCCAATACACTGCCATTGGGCAGTCCTCAAATTATCAGCTATTGACCCACCTCTCTATTTTAGCCTGTCTTTGAGACGCCATAGCAACGAGGTTAGGATAGGCCATGGAGCAATTAGCAGTATTATTTTCAGCTGAGTTGTTCTTGTTTCTGGGCAGCTCAAACTGTGCCACGTGATAGTACTGGCACTGAGTTAAGTAGTTTAAAAAGTGTTCTCGAGCCCACTGCAAATGTTCTAGACGCTTGCTGGGGTTGACTTGTTTCATGCCGAGTGCTCCTTGAAATGCTGGCACCATCAGGTACTTCAGGTCGGTGGAAGCAATCTCTTCCAAATCGTCATTTCGGCTGGAAAGAGCAAACAGGAGGCTGTGAAGCCCGGCTGGGCATTCAAACTGCGCCCCTTGCTTCCTGGGGGAGGGAAGGGCTAGGGTGGGAGTGGAGCAAACGGGGCCAGGGGAACAGCGGCCGGTTTTCTTCAATGAAAGTGGCTGAGCGCTCACACCCAGCGCCTATGCACACAGCTGACACTAGGGAGCAGAGTCGTGGCATATCAATTACCGCGGAATATAAACAATGTACACAAGATCGCAAGGGGAGGTGGGAATGGAAAATTCCTAGTCCTAGTTTCCTCCACCCAGGCTCAAGGGCTCCACCCTTGGTAACCGTTATTAGCTTCGTTCTCAGCTCTTATTACCCTCTCCCCCATACCTGAACAAGTCAAGCTGCGACAACATTTCGGCAGCCTTCTCAAGCAGATCCAGTCCCTTGAACACCTTATCTTGGATTAGCCGGGAACCGGTGGGTTCAGTAGCTACTTCCACTTCCTCCAGAAGCTGCTTGCTGCTTTCAAACAGCTCGGGGAGCCGTGGCAGCAATAACTCGTCTTCTGCTGCAGCCATCATGGGGGAGGGAAGAAACCGGAAGACCTCACTTCCGGGGACAACGGCAACTTTGGTAAAGAACTGGGATAGAACAAACGAAACCGGAAAGGGCGCCGCATTGGTCCAGTTGCTCCATTTTACCAAAACGTCAAAGAACTTCCGGAAGCGGCTGTGTGCCGCCCCGGCGACCGTTTCCATAGGTGCATTTTACCAGGCTGCCTATTGCAAGCAGTAGGCATCTGTGAAAGGCAACCAACCAACCAAAACCTGAGGCGCTATTTTACGGTTTGCTCCTCGTCGCCGACACGGACTGGGAAGTTCCCTGGGCTCGGAGGCCCGGGGGCCGAGGCTGCATTCAGAGCGAGGGCGGGCGCGCAACTTACCTCGGGAGGAGCGCCCTAGAGCCGCCGGGGGCTCCGGCCGCCGCGCCGCTCCCTCGCTCCGTACGTCTGGGCGCGCGAGCGCCAGGAGCGCCCCCCTCCGCCTTCCGTCCCCCCACCAGCTAGAGCTCCGCGCTCCTCCCAGCCAATCCTCGCCCGCCCTCTTCCCCCCGACGTCACCCCTCCCACTCCCGGCCCCACGCCCTGTCCTCTCGGCCTGGGGCTCTCTGGAGCCCCTCACTTGGTAACCTGCAACTCCAGTGAGTCCACCCCACAGCCAGCATGCTTTCTAAAGTGACTTCTTCTGTGAAACCTTCCTTGACGCCCCCCTCTCTCCCCGCCATGTCGCAGAAAATTTTCATTTTCTGTGTATTTCCAGCAGAGCACCGACCACACTGTATTACAGCTAGTGATTTACAAATCTAACTCCCTTAGCAGAATGAGTCTGAGTAATCTTTGCACCCCTCTGGCTAGCCCAGTGCCTGGTACTTATTAAGTGCTCTGTGTCATTATATGAACAGGAAAATAAGCGATCGGTTTGGAAAGCGGTCCAATTATGCAGAACTGCGCTGTTCAATATGGTAGCCACTAGCCGCATGGGGCTACTGAACACATGAGTGTGGCTATTTTGAACTGAGATGTGCTATAAATGTAAAATACACATCAGATTTTGAAAACTTATTACGAAAAAAGAATATAAAATATCTCAATTTTTACACAGATTTCATGTGGAAATGTTAATATTTTGTATATATTGGGTTAAATATTAAAATTAATATCATATGTCTTTTTACTTTTTTAATGTGCCTACTAGAAAACTTAAAATTACATACTGGGCTCACATTTGTGGTTCACATTTTACTTCTACTGGACAACACTGATGTAAAAATATAATTCCAGGACTTTGAAAGAAGGGACATCACTGTTTTGAACAAATCAATATAAATATATACTGATACCTTAAGACGCAACCCAAGTAGTCCTAGGGGATTTAAGTAAATGCTGCCCGCCCTGGAAAATAAGCTTTTAAACTAACTATAGTGGAGAAGAAAAATTTTCATGTAAAAACAACTAGAGGGCAATATAGGACAGTATAAAATCAGGGGATATGTTGTATTGTACAAGCTGTTGGAAAACCAAGAAATGACAAGTCATTCTATGCTAAGAGTAGTTCAGAAAGCTTCTTAGACATGATATGCAGTCATAGAATTTCAAAGCTGGAAGGGGACCTCAAAAAGCAGAGGAAAAAACTGAGAGTAGAAAGGTTAAGTGACTTACCCAACCAGTTGTGACAAAGCCAGCGTCTTCTAAGTTCAATTGTTTTTACTCCATCAATCTTAAATTGTGGGATTTAAAAAGGTGGGGAGGACCTTTTATGTAGGACAGAAGGAAGCCCCGAGCTAAAACAGTGCTTTGCAGGATGGAGAGGAGAGTGGGGACTGAGTGTAGGTTGAAAAAGCTTCCCAGGTGATTCTAATAAACCTCCCCTTGCAACCCGCCCCCCCCCCCCCGCCGCTCCCCCCACCCCCACCCCCACCCCCGGGAAGCTGCGGAGGAAGGGAGGCTCTGGCGAATTACCTATTTGGTTTGGCTGGCATCTGTAATAACTCCAGTAAACTGAGCTTTCAGGGGCAGCCTGGGCCAGGAATCCCAAAAGAAAGATAGTACCTGCAGGGGAGACTTGGAAACTCAGTAATTGTGAGACTAAGGATAATTTGTTTCTGCACATTGCCTTGAACTAAGACCTAGATTTACTGTTGCCTGGGAGAAAAAAAATGCAGAATTTGAATTTGGTCCTGACCTTTGTAAACCATTTTTCTATGGCTTTCAAAATGACAATCTTTATGGGAGTTGCCAGTTATTTTCAGAGTGCATATTCTATATTTGAATTGTCCTTTTAAGTATTGCACTGCATCTTATTTTGAGACGATGCCAGGATTAAAAAGTGGTTAGGAAAAAAACAATAATAAAAATGAATTGTTTATTGTGTTTCTGGGCGTCAACACATTATCACATTGAATCCCTGTTGTCTATGGGCAATTTTTAAGAATTCCTAGTTAGAGGAACTAGAAGAGCCCTTAGAAATCATGTAAGTATAATGATACTTCAACTTTTTGTAGTAGCAGAACTCTTTTTCCAAACCAAATTTTAGACAGGCCTATAATTTCTAAGAGGGCTGCTGTGTTTGCAGTGGATACACAAAAGTCTTCCAACTCAGCCTCTGGCCCATCTTTCTCCCAACCTGCTCAGTGGCACCCAAGGGCCCAAGGCACTGTTGAGGGACTCCAGGGCTCTAAGTAACACGGTATCAAAAGCACTAATCTAGCACCCCTCATTTAGCAGATGAGGAAACTGAGACCCTAAGTTAGGTGACTTGCCCAAGGTCCACAGCTAAGATGAACAGGGCAACAGTATATACAGTGTGTTGGGAAGGGGGAAAACTAGAGTCCAGGAGGATGGTAGTACAGGGGAGCATAATTTGCCACCTCTTTGGCATGAGGATTATTTGGGGCCGGTTATTTTTTAAAAACTGCAGACATAGGAAAAGCTCTGAAAACCAAGTAGAAGTTACCCTTTGTAAGAAACATTTACATATGTAAGGAAAATGTCCATTTGTAAAGGTGTCTCCCTCTCTGTACCAGGAAGAGGGGGATGACGTTATCTCTAGAAACTCTTATCCATGTGCAAGCACAGACTTAAATCTGCACAATAGCCTCACTTTTGTTTACTGTGTTTTTCTGGTACTCTCCCATGGCTGACTCCCCCCACCTCCAACAGTCTCCTTTGTCTTTAGCTGAAGATGGTATTTAAGGTGGCGACCTTGGCCATTTTGGAAAGTTACTCAGCTTTCCCAGGGTTTCTCCCATGTATACGTGTTACAAAGTTGTGTTTGATTTTCTCCTGTTATTCTGTCTCGTGTCAATTTAATTCTTAGACCAGCCAGAAGGGCCTAGAGGGGAGAGGAATTGTCTTCTGCCCCTACAGTAGAAGACATTTGAAGTAATCTATGCCTGGCTGTCGAAATGAGATGGCCTTTCAAGTATTTCCTGATGTGACTCCCTGAGAGAGATGATAGATGTTCATTTGTCATGTTTGGATTTTAACACAGATTTGTTACCTTGGATAACAAATTGTGTGATTCAGGCGAGAAATGTTACAGTAGACCTTTTCTTGCCTATCTGAATTGATGTGCTTGGAAGTTTAGACTTTCTTTGATCTGCTTTAGAGGGGCAATGCTGTTTTGTCTTGAGTGAGTAATATTCTACTGATATTTGTACCTGTAATGCCAGCCATAGCACTTGAAGAGACCAACCTGTGTGCAAAGTCAAGAGCAGACTATAGCTTGCCAGAAATTATCTATGGAATAATTACTTAATCCTGAGTGTTCAAACTGTCTTCACCCAGTATTTTTGAGATCTGAATTTGCCTGACTGGCAGCAAGAAGTTCATTAAGCCATGAAAGGAAAAACTCCAATACAATGAAGTTTGCATTAAATGAAAGATTTCAATTCCCACTTCTATATCCAAGTCTGAGGAATGTGTTACAGAACTTAAAAATACTCTGGAGATCTGGATTTGAGTCCTACCTCTGCTACCGAGTAGCTGTGTGACGTGCAGAAGTCCCTTCCTTCCCTCTTTCCACATTCACTGTGTGCTACCTGAATGCTAGGCTCTGGGAGTTCAAAGAAGAACAAGATACAGGGTTTGAGCCCTTAAGGCGTTCATAGTTCAATGGAAGAGACATGTAAACAAATAATCAAATAGTAATTTGGTAAGAATGGAGGCAATAACTTTGGCCCTGAGGGTGGCATTCTGTTAAAGGTCAAACTCCATGCCTGACTTATAAGATCCTTTCCTATCTGATGCTGACATCCTTTTCATTCTGTTCCTCCCTGTATCCTAAGCTCCACCTTTAGCAAACTCTCCTAATTCTCCAAATCTATCCTGTTCTCTTAGGCCTTCTTCATGTATTTACATGGGTTGGGCCTTCTGCCTGGAATGTCTTTTCTCCCTTGTCTGCCTGGCAAATTTCTATTCATTACTTATGACTTAGCTGAAGGATCACTTTCTCCAGGAAGCATTTCCTGCTATTTCCCCTGCAGTTGAAGCACCCTCCTCTTAACTCTTACGGCACTTTATTCATTTCCCTATGATAGTACTGAAATATGATTTTCCTTATCCTCTGCTATCTCTCACTAGACTGAGAGCTCCTTGAGGTAAGAGAGTGTCTTACTCATCTTTGTTTACCTCAACACTGCACCTGACACCTGTTAGGTAGGGATTCAATGTTAAGTGAATAATGCTACATAATAATAATACACCTAACCTTCTCTGAGTGCTCACTTCCTGCAGGTGACTATGCTAAATACTTTTTATGCATTTTCTCAAGTAGTCCTCATGACTGCCATAAGAAACGAGTGTTGTTATACCCTCTTTTTACAGATAAGGAAATTGCAGCTCAGAGAGGTTAAAATAATTGGCCTAATGGTATTGCCCTATACTGGGATTTGAACCCAATACCGTTGAATACAGATCTGATTCCAGAGCCCTTGCTCTTAACCACTATACTATACTACAAAAGAAGAGGAAATTACAGACCTGGTGAAATACAAAAGAGGAAATGAACATGTAACGGATTTGTGCTAAAAAGTAAAAGGAAGTAAGATTGAACCAGTAGGCTGCCCCACATTATGGAGGATGTACAGTCAGTCAGAAGAGTGTAGACTTGATGTGCTGTAAGCAATAGGGAGGTATTTGGGTCAATTAAATATTTATTGAGGACCTATTATGTGCCAGCCATTGTGCTAGCTGCTGGGATATAAACAGGCAGAGTCTTTGCTCCCGAGGCTATACCAGCTAGGTGAGGGAGACACAACAAGTGATTTCAATGTAATGTGATAAATGCTGTTATAGTGATACACAGGAAGGTATGATGGAAACACTCAAGAGGGGAGC